AAATTTTGAAACTTCAATATTTTCAGAAAAATAAACTCTAGAAAATGGCTATCTTTAATTTTTTTGGAAATAGTTAAATATAAAAATATATTTTAAAACTTTTTTACCAAAACATCGAAATAAATTAAAATATGAAACAGTTGTAGTTCTTATCCCTGTGTTTTATTACAAAACCAGGATTTTGATATCACTATTATTTCGGGAGATATCGCAATGGGTAAATCCTCATGGGACACCCTGTATTTATACATTTAATAAWATGTTAACAACTAAAATAAAATTTAAAAAGTAAGAAATTCTAAATTTTTAATGACACTTAGTCATTACGTTGTACATACCTTGATTTAATAGAAGACTCGGCAGTTGAAGGAGTTTTAGTTAAAGTAACAATATCTGATGCTGTTGGTGTAGAAGAGGCTATAGGCTTCATCTATAATACAGAACAAAAATTGATTCAAACATAATACATATATTTTTTTTAGAGTACTTAATAGTTAATATATGATGATTAGAAATTATATCATTTTATATTATCATTAAGTTAGTGATGCAAAACAACCATGTAAATATATAGAAAAGAAAGTATAAAATGTTAAACAATATTCATACATCTTAAGAAACATAATTTCATATACACATATAATAGACATACTTTACGTGGACTAACAGAACCATGACTAACATCTTTCATTTCTACGTCTTTAAAATTTTGCACCATGTGTTTAACCGGGACATTGGCTATAAATGGACCTTTGATGTGGGTTCTTTTATTTTGCATTGACTTCAAAACAGTTTGACTTCCATTTGGTTTTGATTCAACAATTCCTACAACAATAATAATGTTATAAAAAAGAATAATAAACGACTACACCAATTTTTTAAAAATAAAAACTTAATTCACGTAATTAACTTAAAACCATTCAATACCTAAGCGATTAAGAGTTTTTAACTTGACATCAACTTGATGAATATTGTCAGGCGGTCTAATTTCTGTCACAGAATTTTCTTTCTACACATTAAATTATACATGATAATACATATAAATATATTATAAAAAATTACTTGTGTTCACTTACCGATGACACCTCACTAGATCCATCACCATCACTGAAGTTATCCACTACCCATTCAGGTTTCAAAGAATTTAAATCAAACGAGTTTAGTTCATGGAATGGAAATGCCAAACTATCATTTGGCGTAATGTTTTCATTTATATCAATAATACTATCCTAAAATATAGTATACAAATTATTTAATAATTAGTTACATTGATATACATATAAAGGGACTATATTATATACTATTTTTTTTTTATAGTAGGTTTTAAGTTTTTATTACTTACAGGTGTTTTATTAACAGTATTGGAATTTATATTAAAACTCCCTATGAACCCTCTGTTTAACACACTTGAATTTAAATTTGACTCTGTGTTACTACGCTTTGGTGTACAAAATAATGACTTTCTTGAATAACATTCTTCATAATTTTTTTTCCCTTTTTCAATAAGAATTTCAATTCGTTGCCGAGTTTGCTCTCTAATTTGTTTCTTTTCTTGTTCATTACAATAAGAATTTTTTTCTATATCCACCTCATTCTGACCGGGTACTAATTTGATTGGTGACTCTTGATTTTCTATTTTGTTTTCACCTAAATGAACTAAGACATTTTTTTTTGACTGTTCAATAACATTTGTGCTCACACATTTTGATGTGACACAATCATCTTTTGATTGGTTCTTCACACAATCATCTTTGTCATGGTCTATGTAGTTTTGTTCCAAAAGCTTTGCAACACCATGAATATCSGTTAATGATACACTTTTTTGAATTCGCCTGCTGACATTAGAATCCCACATGGGACTCAATATATTACCACACGGTGGATCTTCCTTTAATGGAGTTTGTTTAGGGACTATATCAAAAGGGTCCATATTGGCTGCTTGCAATTCCAGTATATCAAATGGGTTGTTAATACAATTTCCATCGTAAGTTTTATTCTTCACTATTTCAGGAGTACTCCAATCAATAAGTGCTTCCATTGAACAGTTAACTGACTCATTAGCATCCATAATCCTAGAGAAGTTATACTAGTTAGTTACAAAAATATATTTCTATATGATAATCACTGATAATCAAAACCAAATATATTATTTTTGTATCATGTCATATTTTATAAGTTAATAGCATTAATTACAAATACAGCTCAAYAATACTATAATAGTATATTATAGTAATAATTTTTTTAAATAATACAATTTATATACATCTTAAACTGTAATCAAATAATTATGAAAAAATCTTTAGGTAAATTTATTTTGTATGTTTTTAAAAATKTAGTTTCTGTTTTTTTAGTATGTTTATTTATATAATGATCCTCAAACTGGCAAAATAAAATATGTAAGAATGACTGACATCTAAAAGTTAGGTTTTTAATAATAATTATATTATTTAATAATATTAATTTCATGAATTACCTACCTCCTTGCCCACTTACTATAAATACTTACATAACGTATTATCATTGATTATAAATACTACATAGTATTTATAATCAATGGTATTATCTAATACTGTATTAAAATAAATAATGTTGCAATGAATAAAATTGGTTGAATACTAGAATAAATATAAATGCAATGCTAAACCATCACAAAAAAGATTTAAAATCATTAAATAGATTTTATTTTCAACACAGCTAACACTGAAACACTTTAACTAATCCAAGAGACGTATTATTTAGTATAGACACAACTTGTGTAGAGTACATGAAATATGTTCCATAGATATTAAGTCTTATTATAAGGTATCTATGTTATGTTCAATATTCAGAGATATAGTTATTTATTATTCTCAAGTCATATGAACTGCTTGATAGCGTACACCGCCATCAGAAGTAAATAATCGACGAGTTAAGGACAATACATTTATAGAAATATATACATACTTGAAATGTTGCAACGTCTATATGGCAGAAACGAAGAAAAAACAGGTAGGTTGCCCGTACCCGTTTAAATTACGCGACTCGCACCACTATTGCCACTGCGGTGTTTATATTTTGACAATTGTAATGGAATATCAAATATTATATAATAATGTGCAAACACTAAACAGACGAGACCATCACGACGTGCATAATATTATAATGAAATTATGAATTTATGATAATTAAAAGGATGTATTTATAATTTATTTGTTTTTGTCAGTACGGCAGTAGTCGGCGATCAGTATTTAAAATTAACATAAATAACGTTTTCCCAAAGAACTGATGTTCGGTTAAATGATAACGGTTAACTGCTCAGTTCAGCTGCTGGCTTCTGTTCAATCTGCTCAGTGCTCACATCGCCACATTGGCCGTCGTTGATTAAGCACGTGTGGAAATACAAATTGAAATGGTGACTGGTWAACCACGGTCCACTATACAATAATTATGCATATTCAGGCCCACACTGCTAATGTCTGTGCGGTAAACTTACTGCTAAGGTAAATACATGGTGCACCACAAAATATACGACGGCACCACTGTCTACCACAAGCAAGCAGCTGCTAAAACAACTTGTTACCTATTTTATTTTTTTTTTATGTTACAATTGTTTATTTGTAAATTACTAAATTACACGGTTATACCGCCAAACCAGCCATTCAACGTTATTAATCTTTATTCTTTAATCAATAAGTAATCGATATTGGAATTTCCATTTTTTATACTAAACAATTTCTGACTTATACTGACTACTGCTAAAGCAAAACAAAATATTATTTTACATTTTTCTATCTAAGAAGTATTTGTCATTTTGTAAACACACAACAGTGACTAACTGACAATTCAATCAAATTATTATTGAAATAAACATGGACACTCAAAAAACACTGGATTGTTTCATTAAGAGTAGAAAAAGACCCACCACTGAAGATGGTTACCATAAAAAGGAACTTATGAATAACACATCTGCAATACATAAACCAACTAGAAAATTATCATTCGATTGTTCTATGCAGCAAACAATTAAAAAACAAAAGGTTTGTCAACTGCTTAACTATACTCTGTATTAACATAGCTATATTAAAACCATATTGATATTATGGTATTATTAGTTACTTTATTTTAATAGCACTAATCAAATATTGTCCATGCTTTTCATATTCGAGATGACCTTATTTATATTGTTTATTTAATATTATGATGTCATTTACTTAGTTATAGGTAATATTTTTTTTTAGACTGAGCGTAGCGAGGAATGTATTAGTTTAAAAATTATGTTTATTTTTTTTATTTTTTTATTCTGTAAACACTTTTTCTTCTTCTAAACTTGCTCAAAAGTATCAAGTGCATCTTTTCTGAAAGGTATAGTTCTTGAGCTGGTACTTTAGGGAAGTCATTTTTCGATTTTCAAAATGGTACTCAAAATTAAAGCGGTTAAAAGAGAAAAAGCATATAATTTCACAATTTTATATTATTAAATAATTACGGAAGATGTCTTTATATATAAATCTAAGATGTGAAAATTTTTTATAATCATTAATATATCCTAGATAAATAATCCGTCTCCACTCAGAATCGTTAGATTCAAATTTAATTCCTTCCATTACAGTAACCCACTTGTAACCTACTGTACAGCAGAGTGAAATTCACTTTCCTGCTTTTTAGGTGTAAAACTACTTAACCTGGTTACACTTTTTTCTGCAAACAAACGTATTGTTGTATGATGGCGATGTCGAAATCTAAATTTTGCAAGAACTAAGTTTTAATATTATAGCCATTTGAAGTTTTTAATTTTATGAACCTACTCAATTTGGTATTTCATAACAATTAAATGATGTTTTCAATAACCATTCGAGTGAACTAGTGACCCTGCCAGGCCTATATGTGTCGATAAAAATGTTGTTTTTTCCACAGACCTGCCCAAAATGATTTTACATGACTAGTTGAGAGATGTTTTTTATATCTGACCAACCTAATTTCAAGATATGTTAAAAATTTCATCTGATTATAAAAAAAAAAAAATAAAAGTAAAAAGTTGCCTTTATAGAGGTTTTGTCTCAATGCGTTCATTCATAAAATAACTCTGTAACATTATATTTGTATAAGATATTTCTTATAATAAATATGATTTTATTCCTTATATACATTTAAGATATAGAAATAGGTCATTGCAAATTTTATTAAAATTAAATAGCAACATTCAAAGCAAATGATATTGTTTTAAGCACTTTAATAATGTCTAAAACTTGTAAAAAAAATAAAATTTTCAGTTACTTTTCAAAAAATCATTATTTATAAATCACTCCTCATTTCACTTGATGCTTTAATCTCTGAGGTTTAATTCTGGGGAACCTTCAAACCTTCAATTACAAATATTTTACAATCTTGAATATATTGATTAATTCACAATATGTATCTATAATTTTGTATTTATTATTTTAGGTCGATTTTGATATAACAAAATCAATTTTCCGAAATAATGTAAATGCTGATGTTAATAATGGAGTAGCTGAAAACTTTTTGGAAAAAAAAAAGACTGAAATTAAACATGACATTTATTCAGAAAGAGCTACAACTCCAACAACTCCAGATCAGACACCATCAATTAAAGCCAAATTACGTAAAGTATGTTTATCAATACAATATTATATTTTTATAATTATATTTCCCAGGTATGATTATTAGATATGTAAATAATTACATTCACATGATATTTTATTTATTTTAAAACAAACATACTTCCCACAGTTGATAATAACTTAGTTTGTATAAATTGTGAAACATATTAAAGATAAAAAGATAATCTTATTAACCTTAAATGTTAATTATTTTAGAAATTTAAGTATGGAATAAATAAAATAAAAATTATTTGTCAAATTATTATAATTTCAAATCTATTTAATTTATTTCAGGAATTGGATTTGGGTGAATTTCGCAAAATTGTTCGCCGAAAGCAGAACTTTAAAAAATTGCGAGAATTAATCAATGAGGTAGATCAATCTCAAATTGCTTTTAACTCAGCTAAATCTAAAGTAGAAGATGCCAAAAGTCATTACTTATCCTCGTTTAAATCAGTTGATCGCTTGGTTAATACTAGCCCAAAAAAAGTTGTGTCAAGTCCTATAAAAAGATCTCAACTTAAACCTTCATCCTTATTTCTCAGCCCAGCACAATCTATCATTGGTTCAAAGAGTATAATGACACAACCTACAGAAGATGTTTCGTCAAGAAAATTAATGAATGAAGTTGGATCTCTTATGGCTTTTTCACCATCAAAAAAATATGCTGCATTGGCTGATTCTAAAACATTACCTTTGCCTTTAAAGTACCGTATTTTGGCTGAATTATTCAAAGCCATGGAAACTGTTTCGTCTATGATGTTTACTAGAAAAGAAAAGATAACATTTAATAAACTCAAACGTGGTGTTCAACACATGACTAGAAAGTAACGATATAACTTTTTATTGAATATTTTATGAATAACTTATAATTTGTTCTAAATTATAATTTATTTAGAAATTTCACTGAACTACACTTGGCACAAATTAAAACTGTAGTACCAGATTTATTCAAGTTTGCATTAGTAAAATCATCAAAAGAGAAATTGCGTTATGAATTAGTAATAATTCCAAATTATGGTAAATATTGGTTTATTCTAATTTATTAAATTTTGAATTATTAATTTTGATATTAATTAGGCTCAAAATATGAAGATTGCATTGACTTAATTGATCAAACAATTCGAAGAAAAAAGATATTTTCTGACGCACTGCTTGATATTATGAAGGATCATCACGAAGTATTAATATTAAATTTAATATAGTTGTACCTAATTTAATTTTTTATAACTAATATATTTTTGTTTGCAGAAATATTTGAACACATTAATTCCACCAATTGTGATTGACAAAAATAAAATTACTAGATGGCATCCTGAGTTTAATGTTGAAACTGTAACGGATATTATTCCTTCAGCTTTACCCAAAATYGAAATCACTAAACCTAAAATAGAAACTGCGAAAGATTTATTGGGTAATATGTGATATATGTTAAACAAAAATATTATTATATCATAAATTATATTTCTAATGCATTAATTACATTTAATTAATTTTTAGATAAATCCCATGAATTATTTTCTTACAACAACCGTTTGAATCGGACTCTTATAACAATGAACAATGAAAATAAAATTATAACTGATAAAAAATTTTCTTCGACAGATGCAAAAAATGCATTAAAAAAAGCACTCAAAGGAATTCCTAAATCATTTTTACTAAAGGTATTTTTTTAAATATTTTTTTACCGTCTACATTTTTACTCAAATGTTTATGTAGATTCAAGAAAAGCAAACAGAAAAAGCAAAAGAGTTGATGACGCGATCATTGGGTCAGTTAGATAAGGATAGAATGATGAATAGATTACCAGATATTGSAAGAAGTATGCGCACTTATTTCGTACAACTTCAGASAAATGTTATGCCAGTCAAAAAAGTCATTGATCAATTAAAGCAGAGTTATCCTGAAACTATGACAGACGGTGATTTAATATTTCTTAATTTAAAATTTTCTAGCAAAAGTATCAATTTTATTATTATTTTAGAGGAATGGAAAGCTCACTTTAATCTACTCCAAGAAAAACTACCTCATTGGATTGTAATAAAAGCTTTTGAAGGAATTGAACATATTCGTATTAATAAAAAAGTTGAATTTGAAGAAACTGTAATTAAAACATTAAAAAAAAATTTTAATTTATAAGACTAAAATTTATTCACATATTGTATAATTTTTTTATATTTTTAGTTCCCAGCCATTTATCTAAAAAATTATTTTCTATGTCATGAACTGCCTGTTATTAAACATTTTAAAAATCATTTGTAATAAAAAACTAAGTTATGAAATAATCTTAATTTATTGATGATARAGTTATTAGTTTTTTCATTGACTGTTTTTTTTATTTTGTTCCAAAATGTTTAAATTCGTGTATTATTATATTTATATAAAATATATTATACCCATAGTTAACATATAGCTACAATTTATGGAACTATCAAAATAATATGACTCTTTGAAGTTACTATTTAAATACTTGATTATTATGTATTAAATTCAATAAAATATAAGCAAATAGACATGAATTAGGAAAAACACCCTTTAAACAGTTACCATTAATACAACTAAAAATGTTACCGTGTAAATATTTATCCTATTACCTGAAATCTCATACGAGTTGTAGATTCATCTACTCCAGTAATTGTTGCCTTTAAGTAAATATTACAAAATATATAAGTAAGTCTTAAACAATTTATTAACCGGCCACAAGCTTGTATAATATTAATTATTTGAATAAATAACATGAATCTTAATCTAGGCATTAAGGAACAAAAACATAACATAAACACGAGCGAATAATGTAACCCTGATATTCAACAATAATAATGCTGAGCTCCTCTGCCATTAATTCCTATGATAAAGTTTGCTAATTATACATTTAATTTTGAGTGTATTTATTGTAGAGGAATGTGTATAAAATGTTTAGACCAGAGAAAATCCTTGTGTCTGGTGAATGGCTTGAGTCAATTTATACTTCAGTTTTCCTTTGGATTGATATCTCGGTAAGTCTAAAAGGTTGAAACATGTGTGTGCCACAGGTAGGAAGTTATCATCTGTGGTAGGTTGGATATAAATCTAAAAGACATAAGTAAATAATTAAACTTATAATTTGTGACTTAATAGTCATATAAAATGTAAATTAATTTAGAATTTATCTTTTCTAATGCTATGACAACAAACACAATACAATTGAAGGGTGGGCGGGAATAACGTGCTATGTAACAGTTTTTACAATTTTCATGTTTTTGCGGAATAACGTGCTATGAAGCAATCTCAATATATTTTAAGAATCGAAAAATTCCCAGAATGTTTTTATCGTACACAATCATTGTGTATATACTTCGAATCCGGCGATTAGTTGACTATTAAAACGTGCTATGTGCGTTAAGCGTTTACTATTCACAGTAAGTAAATGTATTGTAGTGTGTTATAGTCGAATATGGAAGAATGTGCTATGTGAGTTCCAAATAACATWTAAAAAAATGTATAAWACAGTTTTCGTTTTTAGTTGTTCCTGAACATTTACAAATTTGCTACATAGCACGTTATTCCCGCCCACCCTTCAATTATAGTATTTAGACTACCGCTTGACTCGATTAACCATTTTTGTTCACTTGTAAAACAAAATTATATTTTATTAGTTTTGAGACAAATTGTTAAATTATTTTAAATATACACTAATAATTAATATGGTAATAATCTCAATCGTTAATTTGTTTTGAAAACATTTTGTCATTTTTCAGAAACTCTGATTTTTCTATTCTTAAATGTTATTATAGAATGCTTGTAATTATTACAATCTATAACTAACACATGATTCATATCCAAATATTTTTTCACAAAATTTAATGAAAATTAATTCTGACAACACATAGGCTATAATATATTAAACAAAGTGAATTGAATTTTTTGATGGTTTGGTAGTCTCAGCATTGGGTAGTAATTGCAATAATGAAGAACTTATAATATTACTTACTTTTATAGCTTTCATTCCCATGATAGGTACACGATCACTTCCTGTAAGAAATAGCAAAAACTTCTTTTTCTCATTAATGTCAAACTCATGAAATACTTCCCAAAACATTTTTATWGTTTCATCATCTTTAGTGTAACCATTTTTATATTCAGCATTATCCTGCCACTCAATCCAATCATAGTCTTGGTGGCCCACAACAACAGCCATTAATTCTTGTGAACGGAATAACCTCAAAACTCGGCCACCGCACACTTTTAAAAATGCATCTTTGAATACATTAAATTGTTTTTCAACTCTACGGTTGAATACCATATCAACGTACAAATCAACAAATTCATGTCTAAAACACAAAAAAATACAATTTAAATATACTAATGATTATCTGAACCTGTGCACTTTGTAACCCGTTAAAAATCCTACCTATTATATGTCTCAAACTGTGTGTAAAATTTGTTTCCTATGATTATGCTGGCAGTATATTTTTATACATATAGATAGATAATGGTTAAAATATACTAAGTAATAATCTTACATCGATATTCAATTTAGTTAATCATTATGTAATTTTATCGAGAACTGTCTGATAATTCAAATATTAGATTAGATTGRATGATATATGGGCCTATCACTTTTTAATTTAACCTATCTTCTGTCCAGAGGTCTAATACATCTCTGTACCAAATTTCATCATAATTAGTCCAGCCATTTAGGAATGCATAAAGAACAAACACTAAATAAACAGAAATCTATTTATATAATATATATAAAGATTTTGTTTACTTACTTATTATCTTGATTAACTATAATATTAGCCCCATCCGGTTTCAATGGAACTGTTTCAATTTCTCCATAAACTTCTCTAGTGATTTCAAAAGTGAGATTAAATACTTCATCAAGATCAGGTTTATCATAAGCCAATAATTCATTAAAACTCCTGTAAAAATAATTTAAAAATAAATTATGTTTGAATTTTGAGTTAATTTTGTAAAGCGATTGGTAGATTTACTTACCAAACCACCAATGGATCCAGATCTAGAAGATCTGATAAGGTAACAGGTTCGTTAAGTAGTTTTTTGTACAATGCTAAAGGAAACGGTAAGTCTATGATGGTAAAATTATAGATTGCTAATCCACACATTAAACCTAGAGAAAAATAAACAAATAAATACAAATTTTTTAAATATAAAATAAAAGCAAGTGTTTTTTACCAATAAGATAATACATTTTAACGTCTTCAAAGGATGAGTCATTAAACCACATCATGTTTGTGTCGTCATAATTAACAAACATACCAAATTTTGGATCTAAAATCTCTTTGATCAAAAGCATGAAAAATTCTTTTTTTACTCCTCCAGCATCCTCAGCTTCTTCACCAATAAATTTCACCTAATTTATGCACAAAAACATATTTTACTGAGAATTATTTGAAATGTAAGGTTCTCACCTTCAAAGGTTTTTTATAATCATGTTGAGTATAAAGAGACAATTCACGTATTGTGTCTACTACTAAGTTTTCCCGTGAGACATTGAGCTCAATAAATTGATTTGCTAAATTAGGCTGATTCCCATCCAAAAATAGCATTTGCGTAAATGCTCTTGTTGCTGCAGCTTGTATTGCTTGTTGCATCTGAAATCAAAATATCACAAATTTTATAATGATCTTTATTTAAATACTTGTATCAATTTTGTTTTAATAGGGAACACACACCTGTAATTTCTGATCAACTTGTAAAAGTATTGTCTTGGATTCAGCATTGAACAGAAAAGGGTAATTACAAAAATAAAAATCTTGATTCTAAAAACAGTTGAAATGAATACAACAAATATTTTATACCAATAAATTATAATGTAACGCATTACACTTACCGTAATTCCGTTATTATCAGCGTGTATCCACCTCATGTAATCAAAACGTATATCTATTTTATCAGATAATTGGGGAATATAAAATGAGTCGTATGGCACTTTCAATTTGCCTTTCTTCACTTGATGCCCATTTAAATTGGAATTCAGTTTATTCAATTTAGCTAACACTGAAGCAGCCACTATCAATGCTTTATCCCAAAATATATGTTGCTAAAAAACAACATGGTTAATAACTAAAAAAAGTAAATAAACAGTAAAAGAAAGAAAATTTTCATGTAGAAACAAATTCTCTAAATCTTTATTTTACTAATTTTAGTAATTATCTGTATGCACCTAAGTAACTTATTACCGCTCTTGAAATGTAGTTTCAGATGGTGTTTAAGTGAGCTTAGCCTAATAATTGATACATTTCATTTGTTAATCAAACAATATTAAATTAATCATCTATAACAGAGGTATTCAAACTTTTTCAGCACGCGGCTTCACAATATGTTTACGGCTCCCAAATTATTATGAAAAAATTGAAACAACACACGGATACAATATGGGAGATATGTTATATGGGTGATAATAACAGTGACTTTAGTACTAGAAATAAAACTTCAAATGTTCGAATCGTAAGGTGTGTCGTTTTCATTTCAATAATGAGTGCAGATAATATTTATAATAATTATACAGGACCTAGGTATGATGTTGGTTTTCGGTGCTTTGACGCGGCTCCCTTTGCAAACTCTCGTGACGCCCCTGGGAGCCGCGACGCACAGTTTGAATACCTCTGATCTATAATATAACAATTTCTCTAATAATATTATACCAATTGAATTATTTAACAATATAGTTTTTAAATAATTATATTTGTAATACAAGTAATAAGAATGTTGATCTAGCTATGACCTTAAGATTTTTTTTAAATGTATTTAAATTTATAAATTTTCATTGACTGTCTGTACAACTATAATATGTTTAAGCACTAAAAATGTTATGTCTATTATTTTC